TACTGAGCTCAGCTGTGACCTCTGTGCTAAGAAACTCCATCTCAGTAAGACTGGGCTTTATCACGGGCTCCCCCAAAATAAAAAGCAGCAGTTGCTTCTCTTTTCCTGGTTTATCCTGACAGCATTACTCACCAACCGATCCTATGGTGGGCTGCAAACAGGGCAAGCAGGTTGGAAAGTAACCTTTTACTAATATTGATAATGACCTGCCTTATATCTGCATAGTTGTCACTAGGTATGAAAGAACTTTCACATGTATTGCCTTGCATGGTTCATCTTTCCAACAATTCTGTGAGTTAGAAAATCACATATTACTGTGACATGCCACAGGGTCTAGGGAGGGTACAAATTATAACCCAAGAAATAAACTAGAAAAAAATGGAGGTGGGATTGTCTTCCTGCTGCTAATCTTAACTCCAGATCATCCAAAGTGGCAGGAGACCCCCTCCTCCCCCAACCCAATCCTCTTAGCCTACTCCACTTCCTTCCACTCTGGGTCAGTGGGGGAATCTCCACTGCGTGGACACTAAGGAATCAAAGCCCTCTTCTGCTTTCCCAGGAAGGAAAAGCATGCACCTAACAGAAGTCAGATGGTCTCAGATTCGGGCTAACAGCGTACCTGCCTGAGATGATGCACACCTGTTTACACAGCAGTTGGAATTCCACACCTGGCTTCCTGGAGACTTTTAACCTCCATAAACAGCCTTTCTCTCTGCTAAAATCATGGCTCGTTCACAAATTAAAGAGCATTACGCACTTCATTGCACACCAGCTAAGAACTTGGAATAAGAAAGCTTATGTGAAAGTATTAGCCCTGGAGATGGCATTAGATGTGCTCCAGAGGAAAAACAAACAAACAAACGGAAAAAGTAATCCACCTGTGACATCCCCGCCCCTATACTTAACTTCTCTAATAAGTCGGCCACAGTACTTAGAGATAGAAGCCATCCAGCTTAGTAAATAAGTCAAGTGGAGAGGGATGTGCAGCAAAGGGAATGAAAGACAGAGAGGCCAGTGAACCCGCTTCAACAACTACCTGCAAGGCTCTCTGCTCCCTTCCAGTGTGGGAGCCCAAGAATAAGCATACCTACCCCCAGGCCAAAAGGGACAGGAAGATAAGGGAGAATGGGAAGGATTACCCCTCACTGCAAAGTCTTGGAACAATCTTGGCATCATGTTCCCTCTTGCAGAGGGGCTCAATATTGCTGCTCACTGTGATCGAGTGAAAAAGACCAGCCTTCCATGTGAGGGCTCCTCCAAGTTTCCTGAAGTGTGTGCCCTTTTTGACCCTCCCTGAACAACTTGAAGATCCAGCCCTGAAGTTCATGCCCTTTTCAGTCCTGCGGGAGTTCAAACATTGAGGGTCAGTCCAAAAAGGGACTTGGTGAGGATGACAGACAATGACATTTCACTGAGTAATAAACCTTATCCACAGGCAACTTCACTATTTGAGAGACATTGTAGAGAGGTCAAGGCTCAGGTAAGGCTTTAAAAGCTGATCTTTAGCCTCTTGGGACCTCAGCAACTCAAATGATGGGTTCAAATGCAGCCAGAGGTCAAAGAACCTTTACTTTGAATTGGAACTTTGTCATGAATTGAGAGGAAGCCATTGGTTGAACAGTGGTTATGAGAATGCTTGAGAACTCTGTCCAGGGTCTGCCACCAACTGTAGCATTTCTCTGTGCCACCCTCTCTCTGCCACCTGTGTTGCATGTGGGTTCAGGCAGACAGAGGAACAGCTGAGTGCATTTCAAGCTGCATGGTGCAGTGGTGAAGCTGAGCGTCGCTACAGCACTAGAAAGAATGGGCTGGAATACAGGGATGGTTGCAGCCTCCAGAATGAGGCATTTTCCCAATCTCTTGCCAAACCAACTAATACATCATTTGTGTGAGACGTGTTTTGGGATCCTGTTTGCTTTATTTAGAAGGGCTTTCAGTACTACTGATCCCGTCTCCCAGCTCCGACTCACTTCTTTAGTACACACTACTACTAATTTTGCTGAGCTTTCCCCCACACCCCCATTGTGTTTAAAGCAGATACTACAAAACAGCTCCACCAGGAAACAGAGCTCTAAAGGATGTGAGAGGCTGTGCCCCCTGGCACTCTGAGCTTTTCCAGAATCACAGACAGCCAACAGCAAGCATAGAGGCTGTGGGCAGAGACTGGTTGTAGCATTAAAAAAAAAAATCCAGATCAGGAGGCTGGTAAGCAGTGAATCTGAGAGCAGGTGGAAAATGGGTGCACCATAGGAAAAGGTAAGGTAGGTCTTCATTAGGCAAAGGCTCCAGACTATTGCTGAAGACGGTCTCTTTGCAACTGCTGAACCTGCCATCCCGAACTTACAATTACAATTTGACTCAAGTTTCTGAGACTCCAAAGCTCTCCATTTTCCCTAAGGCAGCAATAGGAGAAGCAGCCACATTGGGGCTTCTGGAGAGTCCCACAGACCCTGATGCCCCAGAGTTGCCTAGAAGCAAGGAGTTGTCTGCAGCTGCAGTCTGACCTGTTATGCCAGGTTATGCCTAGCAACCCACTAATTGGGCACCCAGAGGACCCTAGCAGCAACACCTCCCCCCTCCTCTCTCTCTTTGCCCCTCCAGGAAGCCCGGGCCTGAATGTGAGCCACATCCCCTCAGCTCTGCCTCTTTACTCAGCTCCACACTCCTTCTCCAGGCTTCCCCACCCCACAGCTGCTCACCCCTCCCCACTCCACTCCTCTCGCATCCACATTGTTAAGCAGTTTCTGTACATACAGAAAACTGAGCCTTTCTGTTTCAAGCTGGAGCTCCCAGACAAGCCAGCCTGGACCACTTCAACCTCACAGCCGTGTCACTGACCATCCTACACACAGGCCTCTGCCTGGACCCTCCTCTTTGGCCGAAGCACCCTGCACGTCTCTTTGCTTTCAATCTGCCACAGGCCAGTGGAGACCCGGGGTTCTCAGCCTCTCCTCTCCCTACATGGAGCTCAAAATCCACACAAGAAAATGAAGCAAAGAGACTTCCACACCTTTGCAGCATCACCTGCTCCAGCAAGATCCCAAAGCCACTGGAACCGTCAAGGCTGCCTGGGACCCCACACCCCCTTCTCTGGCGCGTTTTAGCTCCAGCCCAACCCACAGGATGCAGTGCCTGATAGCACTTCCGAGCAGAGAGAGAAAAAAAAATGCCACCTCGTCAATGACAAGCTGTTCCAATCAAACAGCTCAGACACCAAATGCCCCGGACAACAGACAAATCAGGCCTCCTCCTGATTGGGAGGAGGCCAGAGCAGCACATCTGGAGAAGTGAACCCCACGGCAAGCTCCCTTTTCACACCCACCTGCCACCTGACCGGACAACAGTGCCCCCTCCCAGCAGGCACACTTCTCCAATCAGTTTCAACAGCTCTGGCCAACTATCCTCTTGGCCTTCAACTGAGGCACAACTCTCTCTCCTGCTCCAAAGCACAGGGAGAACCCCAAGCCAAACAAGAGACCACCGGCATAGCACTTCTCAACAGGACCAAGCACAAGAGTAAGCTGAAAACCAAGTACTCACTGTGGTGAAGTCCTGGTGGCCGCACTCCTGCCCTTTGAACTTGCAGTAGAGCATCATATCCTTCAGGTCATGGCCCACGCGATGCAGGAACTCCAGCATGCTGAACTGCTTGGGTTTGTAGTGTTTGAAGTTGGCCTTCTGCCTCAGGGCCTCCAGCACTGTGGGGTCAGCCAGGTGTGGATCCGGGATCTGCAGGTTGACGTCCAGCAGGGCCAGCAGCTCCCCAGCATGGTACAGGTCATTGGTGGTGAGCCTGGAAAACCGGAAGCCATTGAGGTTGCAAAGGGTCACAGCTGGGAAGACCAGGCTTTGGGCCACCACCTCGTCCACCTTGGTGACATGCTGGTAGGAGAAGTAGTAGGACACCCTCTCGGAACTCTCCACCAGCAGCAGGCCCAGGGAGCCCACAAAGGCCAGAGCCCAAAGCACACGCCGGATGGTCAGTGGCCCGTACACGAAGATGTGGCGGATGCCGTGGAGGGTGGAGGTGTTGGCAAAAATCTGGAGGCTAGAGGGCTGCAGGCTGCCCTCACTGGGGCTCTCCTTGAGGTCCATGGGGACCCTGTGCAGTTCGGCTACTGGCTTCAGGTTGATCAGATTTCAGAGAAGAGTTCCCAGTCCTCGAGCTCAGCTTAAACCTTGACGTTCAAGGCAGAGAACCCAAAGCGAGCCTCAGGCCAGGCGCGGTGAGTTTATCCTGAAAGCCCCGCCGCAAGCTGACAGGGGTGAGTGTTTATATAAAACCCATTCAAACTCTAGCTCCTGATTTTTTCCAGGCGATAAGGAGGGCTGGTTTTATTTAGGGAGACACCAAGGTGATGTGGAAGAGATGTGGGTGGGAAGGGAGAGCTTAGCCAATGGAAATAAAGTCCTCCCCCCTACACACGCCACTAGAGACAAGATTAAAAGCGAGAGCGAGGGAGAAAATGCTTAAAACAAGTCGCTGAGCAGCTCGGAGCCTGTTAACCAGTGCATAATGCCCCGTGTTAACCATCCCAGGGACGTCAGGGCGGCCACGCTGATGCACTGCGGGCGGGCGGCGCAGGGCCGAGCCTTCAAAGCCGTCACTGACGCTGCCGCTCTGGTCTTCTCCCCCGCACTGTTTTGGACTCCGGATTCCGTTTCTCGCTGCCGGCCTCCGTCCCTTTTCTTCTTCTCCTCCTCCTCCAGGCCCCCTTTTTTGGGCAAAATTCCAAATGCCGGCGGCCGGGCTAGCGCCTCGGAGAGGAAACAGCGCGCGTCCGAGGAGAGGCGCGGACTAGGCGAGGACCGACCGGGAGGCTACAAGCCGGGGGCTCGGACAGGGACTCATCTCTCCCCGCCTCCCAGAAGAAAAGCGAGACCCTGATCGAGAGGAGCGAGCTGGCCTCTCTCACCCCTCCTCCACCAGGCTGCTGGGGGGAAGGGCGCAGCGGGTCGGGTGGGGGTGAGGTCTGGTGGGGGCTGGCGACCCGGCGAAAGTTTCTTCCTAGCCTTTTTTTGCAGGGAGCTAATGGGGTGGGCTTCTCCCTGAAGGTGGAAAACCAGCGCTGGAGTGAGGACGTGACACCCCACCCCCACGATGGCAGAAAAACACTTCAGAAACTCCCAGGAGCCAGGTATGCGGATGCAGGCAGCATTCCTTTGCACCGGTGTCTGCTCCCGGGCTAGGCTTAGCCTGGGGTTTCCAGAGGGGAGGTGGTTGAAAAGGGGGAAGGAAAGGCGCAATCTAAAAGCCGCTGCCGGGGGGAGGGGGACATGCCAGGGAGCAGGAGCCCCTCCTGAAACAGGAAAGCCAGGCGCCCCTCAGAACCCCCGAGAAAGAGCAACAAGTAGCCCCCACCCCGGCAGGGCCGCCAGGAGATTCTGGCTGAAAATAAAAGGCAGCCCGGGTTCCAGGTAGGGCTGGCTGCATTCCCTTTGGGTGTGTGTGCGTGCGTTTGTATGTGCACGTGTGTGTGTATTCTGCCCCAGAATATGCCAGATGGAAGCACAGCTGGAGCCATAGGTGGGAGCAAAGGATTGAGCTCCCAGCCACCTACCTACTACCTCTTTTTTCCTGAAAATCCACTGGATGTCAGCCCCTGCTAGCTGGTGGGTGTGGCTTGCCAGGGACAGAAATCAAATGACTGCAACCTATACAATCCGTGATGCTAAATCTTTCTCAGGAGTTAAGGAACAGAAAGTTCCAGTGGCCAGCACAATGCACATTGCCTAGCTGGGGCCAAGTGACGGGGACAAGCCTTAGGGAGCTGACCTGGTGTCCCCAGGGCATGCCAAGCTCCAATAATGCTCCTTAGAACAGGGTGCTGAAGGAGGCAGCTTAGGCAATGTCCCTCCTGGTAGGTATCGACTCTGAAATAGTTTTCTATCCCACCTGCCCTCTTGGTAAACCAGGTCCAACCTGAGAACAGTATCCGATGTACTCTGAGGCAACACGTGACATTAAGTCAGTGGTTTATTGATCTGGGCCCTCAAAAAGCAGAAATAGTAAACACCAATGACAGAGGCTGTCAGCTTCATGCGTGTGCCATCCCGGAGGTCCCAGACCCTGCCTGGAGGGCTGCCTCGAGGGGGCACCAAGGTTTCAAAATGGGTGCAAAAACTAAAAATCTGTCATCTGTCAGGACCTGCGTGAGAGCACCTTGTCATCTCCCTTAACCCTTGCCCATCTTGACAGGTGTGTGTTGTTACTCCTCATCTACAGATGAGAAGCAGGTTCAGGGAAGGAAAATGTCCAGACCCAGTTACCAGCCAGTAAATGCCAGAGCTAGGACTTGAACTCAGAGGCACATTTGCCTTTAAAACACAGCTTCACAAAGCAGATCCAACCTGTTCCTTCCCAAATGTAGGGAGGGGGCAAGCCTTTCTACCCCACTTTCCCAGGTACATACACAACTGCCTGCCAGAATCTTCAAAGGTCATAGAGAGGCTTTAACTGGGCTCAGTCATCCAGATGGTCTCAACAGCACCTCACTCTCCCAAGGCTGTGTCCTTTGGGCAGCTGCTAGAGTGGGGAAGGCGAGTGGAATGTACATTTTAAGGACAAGGGAAGGAGAGAGAAGCCTCTGATTGCCCAGGCCAGTTCTCAGGTTAACAGACGGACATATCCAAGGGGTGACCTCCAACCCTCCATCCCCCGTGACAGCTCTGATGATCTCACATGACCCCCTCTTCTGCAGTGTGCGCCCATGGGGTTTCAATGGCATGGAGATGGCTCATTTTTGACAGCTATCTGGCTGCACTGGAGGCAGATTGCACAGCACCAGTGTAGGCACGTTAAAGAGAAAATATTGGTTAAGGTAATGATTTCCAAAATCAATAACAATTTCTCCAGCGAAAGCCCCATGATCTGAACCACTGATGAGTTAAGCCCCCTAGGTCAAGGGTCAGATCAATCAGGGCTTTCACTTGTGACCTACTAAAGATAACATTAACCAGTTCATCAGGTACAAATGCACAACATCTGTTTGAATGGTGGCACAGGTGCCTCCTTGCAAGGCAGTAACAATGTCCAAGGCCATTGTGTTTTGAAGAACAGCTTTCCTCAGGGACATTTCAGTGTTCAGTAAAGACAGGCTTTGCTGGCTATCATTTAAGGCTTGCTGGGTGAATTCAGTGAGAGCTTTCATGTGTGTTATAATGTCCTCCAGGCCAATGGAAGGGGAAGACAGTGGCCAAACGACTGTACTAGTGGGGGAAAAAAGTGCCCACCCGGCCTTGAGAAGAGGGAGGTTGGCAGCTTCAGGAACTTGACCTGGTTGTGCATACCATACATATTGCCAGGGCAGCAGCACTGTCAGGTGTGAGGATATGGACTGGGGGTAGGAGATGTGTGATCAGCACCCTCACTTCCTCCCCTCTTTTAAGGGTGAGGGTTCCATTCCAAGTACAAAGCATTTCCACAGGTCCAGTTTGCAACAGGACAATGGATCCCAGTAGAGACTGAGTAGCTCCCTCTCACCCAGGAGTACCAAGTAACTCACCCATGCCAGTGGACGTCCCATTGCAAATTCTAGTAGATAATGGCTCTCTTAGGTGTGGTGGTGGGTGGTGTTCTCAGCAACATAGCATGTTGATCCACAGTGAGAGCTGGGGCAATGGCTGTTCCCACAACTGCTTTACCTTTATGGCGCTGAGTGTCTCAGTTATGCATCCCCAGTTTGGCATATGAGGCAACGATCTCTACAGGTTGATCAAATGTTTTAAGCCTAGTACAGTACTTGAGTCCACCTGTCAGTCATTGGAGCCAATTCAAGTCCACCATGAATCCACAACTTGGGGGTGTGGTGAAGGAGGAAACTTAAGCACCAACAAGTTGATTGTAATACATCACACCAGTGGAACAGCTGAATTATGAAATAGCACAACTGTGGAATGGCTAGGCAGTGCAACAGCTCTCGGGCGGAGCTCCTCTCAGGCTAGATGGCTAGGGGTCTCTCCTCAGCTCTTCTCTGCTCAGGTCTGCCCATTCCAATCCACACAGACACATTCCTTGGGAAGGGAAGGTGCACTCCCTAAGCCAGCGGGGGAGCTGATTTATGTAGCAAGAAATCCCTGCCCCTGATTCCTGATTGGTCTGTCCTCATGCAAATGAGGACTCCAAAGCTTTACAGGTTTCAAAAGCACCACCCTGATTGGTTGGAGTGGAGCCACTCTGATCGGCAGTGAAAATACAAATTAGGATATGGTGGCACAGCTCTGATTGGATGAGGAAAGTCTCAGTCCTATTGGTTGAAATGTGGTTCCAAAAATTCCTTTATAAGGGTTGGTTCAGAGGACAGGAACACAGTGCAGGCTTCCCACCAAAGCTTGGTTTCCGTGAGAGATCTGTCTGAAAATGGCTGCTAGGCTCTATTTTTAAGTTTCAGCCCAGTTAGCCACCAGGAGTCTTTCTTGGTAGGTATCTTCTTTCTCAGACTCTACCTGGCCAAAGTGGTTTTACCTGTGTTATTTAGTTTGTTGCTTTAATATTCCATTTTCTCCTTTCCACTCACCATGCTGCTTACAGGTTTTAGGGTAGAGGGAACCTCCATTCAATGTCATATTCTTTTTCCCAGTCTCGTGCACTATGACCTTTGAAATATGACCCCCAATCACTGTCTATTCAACTTGGGTATCCACAGATGGTACTCAGCTTCTCTGGTCCCATAATGGTGATAGGCTGGTTTGCACAGCAGCAGGCGAAAGCTTAGATTAGACCAGATGCAGTGTCCACACAAACTAAGGCATATTTAGAACCCTCACTTGAAGAGACTAGGCCCATGTAATCAATTTGCTAATCTCTCACAGCTGGGAGAGCCAGTGGACAGCCCCAAACTCCTTTGCCTTGGGCATTGTTTAGAACACACAGGATCTTTTTAGTGCATTAAACGGTCACTGTATTTCAAGGGCACTCTGCCACCTTTGGCAATATGCCATCCCACCCACGAGCTACAGTGGACAGTCTTTTTATGTATTCAATCTGCTGTATCTTCTGAAGGGTCAGTTGCTAGGGCTCAGAGCTGGGCTTCCTGATGGCCAGTGGGTGTCAGAGCCAGAACATGGAAGACATTGAGAACTGCCTCAGGTTCTTGCAGGCAAACCCAAAGGTCCTTCCATCTATCCTGACTTTCCCAGGGCTTATTCATGGTCATCCAAGTCTTGGCTTTCCATTGCCCAAGCCACAGGTTAATCTCTTTAGAACAGCCCAACTGTTTGTGCAAAGGGTTAATGGCCAGAGCTCATGAGTGATCCTCAGCCAAACCTCCCTGAGTTCTGCCCACTAGTTTATTCTTGTTTCCAGGTATCTGTTTACCAGATGTCAGTGGGAATTTCCCCTCCTCCCTCTATAGAGGCCACAGGGGCTGCCACAGAAGTAGGGGTGGGGACATTTGGAGTGTCTGCATACTCTACAGCAGGGGTGTCAAAGTCATGTTCACCGGGGGCCACATCAGCCTTGTGGTTGCTTTCAAAAAGCCAGATATAATTTCAACTCCTTAACAGTTAAGGAGTGGTTACATTTATACAGTCCTAAATTATTTCGGCCCTTTGAAGGCAGCCTCGAGGCTGATGTGGCCCCCGGTGAAAATGAGTTTGACACCCCTGATCTACAGGGGCTAGGGGCACCTGCATCTTTTAGGACAGAGGGCTGGTGGACAGGGTGCTCCTCTGCTGCAAACGGCTGTGCCATTAGTCAAAGTGGGAGTGTGAGCCATGGCAGAGGTGGGTCAATGAAACATATTCCCCATCCAGCCCTTGCTTGGAAGTCAAGTTCTTGCCATATGCTGTTCCTTTCCAAGAGGCTCAACCTGGAGGAACACTGTAAACACTGCTAGGAGTTACTGCTCTCTGGGAGTTCATAGGTTTCCACCTGCTTCCAGAGCTGGCACCCAAATCCTGGGGAGACTCTCCTGTTGTCTCTGCCACAGAGCCCAACCCATACCCTCTATAGAGTCACAGGCTCATCTAAGTCAAATGGTGTCCATTCCTGGGAGATGCCTGGAGCTTTAACCTGTTTCATTAGTATCTTTGTCTTCTCAAAGGCCGCTTGCTGCTCTGAGTCCCAGTCCCACATGTGCCTTTTTTTGACCAGACAGCATAGCAATGGAGGCACTGTGCCAGGTGGGGAATAAAAGGCCTCCACAAGCCCCTTTCACAGTCTTAGCTGTTGGATGGACTTGCACTTTGTCAGTCACAGCCTCTGGGACAGTGTGCATCTCACCTGGCCGAATGACTCTCCAAACCACACTGGTGTTTGGATTCCCCTTGCAGATGTTCCAGCAAGGTCTACAGAATGTCCTAGAGCAGAGGCAAGTCTTCCCGTGTCAACATTGTATCATCAAAGTAATGGGCCTGTTTTACTGATGTGGGGAAAGGGAGCAGGGACGGGTCTCAACCTACCATGTTATCACATATTGTGGAACTGCAGGTAGCCGTGGGAAAGCCCTTGAAAGGTGCATTACTGCTCGCCCTCATGAAGGCAGATTTATCTTAGTTCTCAGAAACCTGTACTTGTCAGAGTCTAGCCAGGAATCTCCTTGAAGACAAGCACTTTTGCAGGAACTTTTGCAAAAGCACCAGAGTAAAAGTAAAACAATAACTGCCTGCAAATGACAAAAGACTTAAAAATGGTCATCGTCAAAGATCTGATAAGAGTTCATTGTAATGCCATTGACAAGGAAATTTGGTTATTCCTGTGATATATATTTTTAAATTATGACCAATAACATTATATCAGAACATACTGGATTTCTAGGAATTTTATACAAATATGCCCTAAAGAAAATTTAGCATCATTTATCTGACAGTGCTTCCCATGTAATTTAGCATATCAAATCAGCCTACTTAGTTTAACATCTCTCATTTATATGAAGAGAGAATATATCTTTTGAGATGTTCCAGATGCCCTCTGGAATATCCCAAAATTAGTTCAAGGTCAACATGAATTCATTTAGAATTTGATTTGGGGAAAGTTTGTCAAAAGTATGGAAAGTATATCAAAAGGCTTTAAAACACATTATTAAATAGGACTCTAAGTCGGTGAAGCAATACATTATCCATTTAACCAAAGTGACAAAAGACTTTAAAGGCAACCACAGTTACATAGTTGTAAAGAAGATGGAGAAGGAGAAGAAGAGAAAAGGAAAAAAAGGAAGAAGCTTAGCTCTTTTAATAAAGATGACTCCATTTTCTTAGGTAATCAAGACCTGGTAAAGACCACATAAAGCAGAGGAAACTTTCTGGACAAAGCACAGAACCTTAATTTTTCTAGGCAGATTACTTAAAAGGTAAAGAATAAGCTTTCACAATCTTATCAAGAATAGACACCTAGTCCAAGAAAATTAACTTTTAGTTTTACATAAGTACACAGTTGATTTTATAGCTTATTTGTCTTTAAGCCAATTAGAGCTATTTTACAAATTAATTTTGGCTGTACCCTCCAGAGGTAGAAAAACAATTAGCAGTACGGCTTATATATAAACATCAGATTTCCCAGGATCCTCAAAAATGCTTTGGTGGTATTCAGTCGATTAAATGTTCCCCTCTGCAGTCAGATTTACAATGCCTATTTGCTCCGCACTGTGGGTATGTGTAGGAGGCAGGGAGACTGGGCTTAGATTGGGTCCACTGGGCCCAGACTTTCAGGTACTGCCCTGTGTGTACCTATGGTCTTTTGATGAAGGCAGAATGCTAAGTATACAACTAAACATTAAAGGACTTTCCAGATAAATTAATTTGCAACTCAGGCCATTTAACCCCCTATTAGACTATGTGCCCAGGTGTTGCTCCGATAAATTTATTCATTTATGAATGAATAAATGAACACATGGGTGAATTCACTTTCTGTGACACAGAAACTGCTTTTCTGAGATGCGGGAAGAACTGAGCGCTCTTCCGACTCTGGAGAACCCAGGCTTGTCTGGAGCCTGGAGCCCTGTAGACCATAGACTGTGAGAAGCACCAAGTACAGCCTCCTTCCTTCTCCAAATAGGAAGGTTGGGAAGCTGAGGTCTACAATCAGCTCTAATGCTAATTTGCTATTTAACATGTGCCAGGTGCGGGGTGCTGCCACTATCACTCCCTGATTAAAAAAAAAAAAGAGACATATTCTTTTCTAACATACAGAGGACATTATTACTTCCAACTCAGAGGGGCCTCAATATATTATAATTTTCCTCCTGGCTTTTCATTGCCATAAAGAGAGTTAAAAATCAACAATTATAAACCAAAATATTCCCTGCTGTTGGTTGGTTTATACTAAACACCTCATACAACAATCATTCCCATTTAATTACCTCAGTGTACACTTAGCAAATAATTTGTCTTGAAGGGTATACCAGGGAGGAGCATCAAGCAAAGCTGGGTACTTAATGCATACCTCATTGAGATTTTATTTATAGTTGTTTTATTTTATTTTTTTCCAGGAGAAAAGTAGAGAAGCCAGACCACACGAAGTGGACTTTGGTGGCTCAGTTGCCAGCTGCTCTGAGCCCAGGCATGGACTGAATTTGCTGCGTGGCCTTCAGAAAACCATGTAACGTCTCTGTGCTGTTTCCTTGTTTATGCTAAATAATTGCTGAGGCTTCCCCCTGCACCAGCTTTCTGTCTGCTACAATTTCACTCGAGCCTTGACTAAATCATAAACGCATAAATGGCCAAATCCTTAATGGGACAAAAATTAGAATCTGGGATTCTGCTCATTAACCCATGTTACCATCTGCTGGACTAGTGTGCCCTGTGAATTTGAATTACCCAACACTTATGAAACCTGCAGATTCCTGCTCCACTCCCCCTTATCTGCTGTGCTCCACTGAATCCCAGTGCCTGGGGCTGGGCCTGGAAGGCCCTTTCAAGGGGCCTTCCACGGTTACGGAGGGCAGAAAGGGTGCTCAACCCAGAAGCAGCCATGCATCAGGAGCTCCTACTGCCTGTCAGGCACCCCAGGCCGGTTTCTGGAGTTTGATACTTGCATTTCCCTCTGCCTGCCTGGGACGATTTTCCCCATGGCTGGGTTCTCATTTGTCGTCTACTCAGGGAGGCCTTGGCTGGCCTCCCTAACTCCACCCTCCACCCCACCCATGGTCCCATCACATGTTTCCTTTCCTTCTCATTACTAGTCATTTTCTGAAATTCTTTTCATCTCCCTGTGACTTATCTGTTGCTCCTGCTGGAATAAAGGCCCCCAACCTCTACCCCTGTTCCCACCCGACACTCGCTCCAGGGATGCAGAAACCCTACCTGGCTTATTGGCGACTGTCCCCCAGCTTGGAGTACATGGGAGGTGCTCATCAGTTTAAGACTTCATGGATAAATGAACACTGGCTGGACTTGCTTATTTCTGATGCTCAGACTGCTTCTCTGGGGCACAAGAATGAGGACCCTTTTCAGACCCTGGGGAACCTGGGCCCTACCCTGAGCCCAGTTCCTGAGGAACGTGAGGGGCGCCCCCTGTCACCTAATCCTGTCTGCTGTGCACCCAGTGGGGGGGGGGGAGGGGTGGCGCTGTGCACCTGGAGAATCTCAGTCCAGGTTACCTGACCGGAAAAGCCTGACTTCGGAGCTCAGGACTAAGTCCTCCTTCATCATCTACAAAACCATGGGTATGGGTGGGAGTATGAACTAAGTGCTGCTTGTCCACTCAATTAAAGGGTTATTCCATCTCTATCCCCCTTGACTTTAAATGGCTAGCTGACCTTGACACTTCCCAGATAAGCTTCTCTCTACTTTCTTAATTCGATAGGCTAATGATGACATCAAGAAATAACTTAAACAGTAAATGTTGAATAAATGCCTGCCGGTGTGAAATAGGATGTCAATTCACAAGAGGACCTCCAAACTCTATCTTACCATCCATCCATTTTTGGATAACCAAAATTTAGTTTGTGCTGTGAGCACTTGCCCCTTTGTACAGAACCAGTGGTTTCTAACTTGCTCTTGTTTCATTTGCTTTCAATGAGACACATCTGCTTATAGTCCCTTAGTCCCATATGGACTGACCTCCCAGGTGAGCTGAGGAGGCACTTCTGGACTACACCTGACCCTGAAGGCCTTTAAAACAGCCTCTCTGTTTATAAAGACACAAGCGTCTTGTTATCTACATGAAACAGGCCTGGTTCTAATGCACACTGTGGGTGAAACGAAGTTCCCAGGGCTCGGAGGCCTTGATTTCTGCTTTGATTTCATGTCATTTCCCTTCTCCTCAAGGCTGTGAAAGTCCACTGCACCCCACCTTTCTTCTGCCCAAACTCTGTTTTATGTTTCTTTTCTCTAAATATTCTTTATCTCATCTTTTCTCTTTCGTGTTTTATTTTTATTCATTTTTAGAGAAAGGAGAAATAGAGGGAGAGAAATATCGATGTGCAAGAGAAACATTAATGTGTGGTTGTCTCTTGCACACCCTCAGAGGGGAGCCGGCCTGCAATGCAGACATGTGCCCTCACCAGGAATCGAACCAGCGACCTTTTGATTCTCAGGCCAGCACTCAGTCCACTGAGCCACACCAGCCAGGGCTCACCTTGTCTTCAGACATCCTTCTCTTCCAGTCTCCTACGTCTCTCTTTTCCTGCGGAAGGAAACAGAAGAAAGAAACCATCCCTGCTTGCTTTCTCTCTGTCTCAGTCCCCGGAGGCAATGACTCCACATTTGGGACAAAGAAGCAAAAAGGCCCTGAAGTCAATAAGCCATAGTCCGGCTTTCAACAAAAACTTTATTAGCAACACCTGGGCCGTAGGTGCGCTAGCACACCACCGAAGAACACCAGTGAAAGAAAAACAGTGCCCAAGAACCTGGTCTGCCCTGCTTTTGAGTGGAACTGCCTCTCCCCCTTGTGGTTACAATGACTGATCTTGAGGAACAAGTGTGGCTTTTTTTTTAATCGCCCTTTGATCTCTTAGCTTATTACACAAGCTGTTTGATTCATTAACTCTGTCTCACCCACCCACCTACCTTCTTATACCAGTGCCCTCCCCCCTCTATTCTTCATCCACCTGCCCCTTTAAAAAATGCCTCAGTATGTTTGGGTAGGCGTACCCATCGCTTGTGTACTTATTTGCATTTGGTGACTTTATCTCCTGCATTCATGTAATTCAATGTGTTGCTCTCTAGCTTTTATAAAACAACATGAGATAAAAGTAATGACGTAGGAATAAGAAAGTGGAAAACAGGATTAAGAGAAAAGGAGCAATGCATTTATGTTTATGATCATGGCCGTCTTTTTCTCTGTATTGATCACATTCTCGTCCAAATTCATGACACAAGTTTTGATGTGTCCAGTCCCAAGGTGGGTTCTACAAAGAGACAAGCAAGGGATAAAAGCATGGCCCCTGTGCTGTTCATCTCACGATCGAGGCACGATCATCACACCCATAGCACACTTAATGGGAAACACAACCCCATTTGATTTCTGTGAGCAGAAGAGGGGTCGTGTGTCTGTGATAGGAAAGAAGAGACGGAGGCTCAGAGAGCTGGCAGACTCTGAGCAGACAGCAGGAGAGTCTGGGGCTCAGCCCCTGCTTTCCTACCTCCAGATTTCATGGTATTTCCACTCTGCCTTTATTCAAATCAGGCTTCTCCACAGAAGCTTCACAGTGCTGTGACAGTGCCACATCGGCTGCCCATGACGAGAAGAGCTGGCTCCAAGGAGAAGGAAATCAATGAGGGCTGGAAGGGGTGGGTGGGAGCTGGAGCCGGAAGGAAGCTAGCAGACTGGGTCTGAGCGCTATCATAGGGTAGTCCTTCCAGACCCTTTGTGTCCTGTGTGCGTTACCCACAGCGCCACAGAAAAGCCACCAGTGGTGGGGTTTCCAGAGTTTATTGTGGAAGGAGTGAGAATGAGGTAAATGTCTTGACCTTCTATCTCTGTTTGTAAATATATAAATAAATAAATAATGTGTGTGTGTGTGTGTGTGTGTGTGTGTCTATAATGTTTCCTTTTCCTGGGTCTGATTATACATGCCAGATAGCAAGGTTTTATTGCCTGCCAATCTGGTCTGGACACTCCGATGCAGCAATGTGGGAGGACACCAATAAGCAAGAGACATCATTTCACTGGTGGAGGAAGTCATCCAGCGAACCTAACCTCTGGTTTAGCTGCAAGCTGAGCCTGGTCTGGCTCCCATTTTACAAATGGGCACACCGAGACCTGGGTTGACAGGGGAGAACTGCCCCAGGTACAGGGCAGCCAAGCCACCAGAGTCCAGGCTTGGACCCAGGTCTTGTAATTCTATGCCCTCAGCTACTCAGCAAGTACGGTAAACACCAATTAAACTACGAGAGGCGGGCAAGAGACTTAATAAAAAATAAATGCAATCCAGGATGATGGATATATTTAGGGGATAAATTATTATGCAATGATGTAAAAATAGATCAAGAGAGAGCACATGAAATTACAAGCCTAACTGTGTGGAAGACAGGGAGTTACATGGAGAGCGTTGGGTGCATTTAATTAATTTTGCTGGGAAAACATTCTGAGGCTGCCACCTGAAACCAAAACATTCAATCTTCGCTTAAAGTAACAATACCTGTGGTCCTATGAGGAGGAGTTAAAATCTAATAGAGCTTGCAGTTGTTGACTAAAATAATGCCAACACTCAAGCGCTTTGATGGGCAATCCCAATCCCAAAGTAACCACATGCTTAATGTCTGTGCATGAAGTGGGCCTATGGGCTGAATCCCCACTGACATTGCAAAGTCCTGGTAAGTTTCTGCACAGATTCAATTTCCACAGAGGGAAGGGGATCGACATGTACTGGAAGCCAAGATCTCGCTTTGTCCTGTGAGGGTATTCTGCCCACTTTATAGTCAAGGAGACCAAGGTTTAAAGATGTTAAGTAAACTGCTCATGGTCTCGCTGCAGGTGAGGGAATGGGCTTCCGGTAAGAACTCAGGGCAACTGAATCATGCTGTTGCCCATGCACCTTGTGAAACTGTGGCGTGCTGTGGCCCAGGGTTCAGGTGCTGGCGTCAGACGGCTGTGAGTTTTAGCCCTAAATCCACCCCATGAGCTCTGTTACTGGCAGCACACTGTGTAACTTACCTAAGCCTTGCTTTACTTGTCTGTAATAGTCCCAGTACCCACCTCTTAGGGCATCACTGACGTGATGGGCCAAATCACATAAAGGACTGACAAGTATCTAAGAAGAGCTCGGTAACTATAGCATCATTATTATCATCATTATTATCACTGCTTCTGTCAGAGGAGATGCAGCTGACGTGGAACCACCCCCATGGACCTGTGACCTTTCTCAGCCTCCATGCTGCTCACCCTGTCCCCATGCAAAACGGGAAGGGTGCAGTCATGAATCTGGCTTTAAACATGACAGCAGATAAGCAGGGCAACATCAATAACCATAAACGAGGCTCCACCCAGGTCCCACAGCAAGGTGAGAACTCTCACAGCAGGTCTCAGGGCCTTTCCCCTGAGAGGGGCGGGACAGTCTGACAGGGTCCTTTCTACCCCCTGCCACTTGAAGGTCATCCCTCCCTGGAAGTGCTCATTCTGAGCTCCTCCTCCTTGTGCAACCACTATTGCACAAGGATCCGCATTTAAACCTATGTTTATTTAAGTCCGGAAAGATTTTTGTAAAACAGTCATATTTTGCTGTCAGGAGAAATTGTGATCAGGCATTCCCCAGGCTTAAGCTCTTTTTGCATTCATTTTATCTCGACATGCAGCAGCCCCACCAGTATGTAGGGTGATGCTCATCTGGCAGGTGAGGCCCAGGAGGGACATGGAAGTTGATTCATTTGTTCAAGGTTTTGATGGAATTTTGAGCATTAGGAAACAGTGGGTGAGTGTGCACATGTCAGAATTTCTCCTAAGGTGTGTTAAATGTGGTTGGAAAAAACAGAGAAGGCTTCAGGGCTCTATTTGTCTGAACAGAAAATGAGAGAAACATGGAGAAAGATTATTGACTTCCCCATCTCAGGGTAAAATCTAAAATGCTTTCAATGCCCTGCCCTTCCTACAATGGAAGTTCCTGATGTTTCTCATATTACTTATTTCTCTCTTATATTGTCTGCTTCCCCAACTGGAATATGAAATTCTAGAAGGTAAGGATTTGGGGCTACCTATTCCCGCCAGTTCTCTAGTGCCTAAAACAGCTTCTGACACATGGAAAAGTCTCAATCAATATTTGTTGAATTAATGAATGAACCTTAAAACAAACAATTGTGCTCCTGATTTTCCAAAAGTGCTCCAGGTCTTACAGTCTTCTATGTAAACAGGTATCCAATCCGAGGGGGAAGGATTTCTTTAAAATGCAACAAGTCAGGCCTATGGTGTCCGAAGGCCTCATTATGTCACTTTACCTCTGTCTCTCAAATAGGAGCATTGCCCCACAAACTATAAGCCTTGTGAGGATACAGAACATGCCCTATTTAAAGCATTATATCATCGGAGACTAGCAGAGAGCTTGGTATCTCAGAAAGGTCCAAGACTATTTAGAAGAATAGAGAAGCACGGCCTCGAGGAAACAAAGCTTCAGCACATCATCAACCTTTTATGCTGGTCGTCACTGATTTACTCCCATGTGCAGTGGGTACAGTGTATATATGGCAAATGTGCCTGCTTCCTCCCCACTAGCCGGGTCTACCAAGTGCGTCCATGAAAATGAGCTTCCAACAGTCACATATTCTCTGATTCTATAAGATGGACCACAGGCCCTGATGAAAGAGAGAGAAGAAAAGGAAGGAAGGAAGGGGGGGAGGGAGGGAGGGAGGAAGGAAGGAAGGAAGGAAGGAAGGAAGGAAGGAAGGAAGGAAGGAAGGAAGGAAGGAAGGAAGGAAGGAAGGAAGGAGGAAGGAGGAAGGAAAGAAGGAAGGAAGGAAGGAGGGGAGGAAGAAAGGAAAAAGAAAGAAGAAGAAAAGGAAGGAAGATAGAGAAGGGAGGGACAGAGGCAGGCTTAATTCCCTGTTTTTGGCCAAAACAGACCAGAAAACACTAGCAATTATGTGGAAGCTGTTACTGCAATGTCAATTTGCTTCTAGAGTTATAGCTGTACTCCAGGAACTTGAGTTTACTCCAGAGAGGTCATTAGTGTCTGTAAACACGTTATTGAGGGCAGTAGCATCCTTTCCAATCTGGGATGTCCTCAGTCAAGTGTGACAGCAGGAAATGGGGGTCAAAATAATTAACCTCATGTGATTTTGGCAGGTCTCTTTGCAAAATTACCCATATGCACTTCATGTTTCTTTCAGCTGAATAAGCTAAAAGTATCTGTTTTCAAGAGGTTCTTCTTTTCCTCTCTTCTTTTTCTACCACTGTGCCAATTTTTTTTTCTGGCTCTTGCTCCATATATCCTATGACTTACTTTCTCTCCTTTATTCCCCTCCTCCTTCCCATCCCCCACCCCTACCCCCCAAAGGGACTACTGGTGAAAGTTCTGCTGGGGTTTTCAGCACCATAATTCTCACACCAGATCGTAACTCTCAGGAGAAAACCAGAATTTCTAACGTGGTAAAGGCCTTTCTTGACTTTGTTTTAATTAAATTACTCTTTCTATTCCCAGGCCTCCATGAACTATAATTACATCCAAACATTCCTCTTGACCACCTGTACCTGAGGCTGCGGCAGATATCCCTGCAGTGTCCATCTGGCCAAGGACCAGCATGGCATTGGGAGCCAGCTCTGGGCTCAGATACTGTTCCCACCATTTGCTACTCTAACTGGACTCTTGAACAACTTATCTGTGAAACCAGGATGATGATATTTATTGGGTTATGATGAAAAAAAATGGGAGAAGTAGCTGAACTTTCTCTCAGAGCGTGAGTTTTAATGAGTGTTAATTACATCCATCCATCTATTCTCTTTGTTCAACAAACATGTATTGAAATCCAGCTAAATGCAAAGCATGCACAATGTACAAGTTTTGTAACTGGGATGGCCTATTTCACCAGGCTGGGGTACATTTACAGTCACATGTTTTTATTGTTCTGAAATGAATTACTCAAGCAATTTCCCCTAATCGACATGAAGTCCAGAATCTTTCTCCCTCTTGATGTTATTTTCTTTTACACTAGCCTCATTCCCACCACTTACCCAAGAAACCCCAGGGCCTTAGCTGTCTGTTGAATATCGGTGCCAATTCTTTACTGTCAGACGGCAAGTTCAATTTCTCTTCATCACCAGAAGAGGTCACTGCTGAAGAATGGCCAGGTGTAGGTCCAGAGCTGCTCTTCCAGGTAGTTGAGGCCATGCCCACAGGTGCTGGCCTAGATTATTGTACAGACTGTGGTGGGGAATTGCACTTAGGTCAAGATTTTAGTTCTAGTAGTTCACAAGCACATTCAGGAGAGTCAGGAGCTAAGAAGCTTCCAGACTCACTCACACACCGACCTTCAACCTGACCTGCTCAGGTCTTCCTGACCAGTCTGCTTGGACCCTTCTCTCCATCCCGTGAGCTTGAGGAGGGCCAGCATTCTCCATTCTGCTGATTTCCCTCCTCGCATGCCTCTAGGACCAGGGTTCCCATCTCAGCCCCAGTCCACCACGCGAGCCTACAGGGCCCCTGTGCAGACCAGTCCACACCGTCCTGAGCCCCAGCAATAACGAGGAGAGAGGCAGCTTCTGCTAAGCCCCAGTATGTCCTCCAACAGAACACACACAAAGTCCTGTTAGCACCTTCCCGCACGACATAGACTCCTCTCAT